CCCCCCCCGCCCCGCCGCCGCCAAGCCTGCCATTTTCCTCCAAGGGAAACCGATCTGGGAGCCGGAAGGTCAGTTGTGAAGCCAGAACTCCAGGCCTCGACGGGAGGCTGGCAAGCCCCTGTGCCGCCCCCGACCTTCCCTCTACCCACACTGTAAAGGTAAAGGTTCCCTTGCTCGAAAGCCAGTCGAATCCGACTCTAGGGTTGCTGTGCTCAACTCCGTTTCAAAGCCAAAGAGCCAGCGCTGTCCGAAGACGTTTCCGTGGTCATGTGGCCGGCATGACTAAACACCAAGGCGCACGGAACACTGTTACCTTCCCACCGGAGTGGTACCTATTTATCTACTTGTAATTTCTTGCTTTCAAACTGCTAGGTTGGCAGGAGCTGGAACTAGAGACAGGAGCTCACCCCGTCTTGCGGCACCCGGGTCTTGAACTGCTGAACTACTGACCTTCCACAGCCTGCAGTTCAGCGCCACCGCAGCTCAAGTACACCACACTGTACTTATACACTTTTCCTGACAAGTGCGGTTCCCCCTGCTCTGCCCACTCACCTCTGTGCACACACAAAAAACACTTGATATATGCGGGTGAAGGTGGGCGCCGCATTTAGCCCGGTGCACACCAGCGCACATCTCACAAAGTACCTCCTCATCAATGCTCCCTCTAAGCTGTGGAGTCCTGTGAGCAAAAATTCTGCTTTGTGAGCTACTGGCATTAAAGCTGTAAGCAAGCAATTTGACTATTGCAAAATTTAAGTTTGCTGTGGAGCCATCTTTAACATAAACATAAGAACATAAGAGACGCCAATGTTGGGTCAGGCCAAAGGCCCATCCAGTCCAACACTCTGTGTCTCACAGTGGCCAGAAATACCAGGTGCCATCAGGAGGTCCACCAGTGGGGCCAGGACATTAGAAGCCCTCCCACTGTTGACCCCCCCCCAGCACCAAGAAGACAGAGGCTTTCCTGAGCCAAGACAAAAATGTGTGAGTGGGAGCCTAAAAAATTGAGCTAGCTCACACTGACTCAGCTTAGAGGGAACACTGCGTCCTGATCACCAAGTTTGCACATTGGGGGGGGCACCAACCCCAACTGAGCGCACACAGAACCCAGGTAAGCATGTTAAGATGCGTAGGTGCGCTCATATATGTGCGGGCCTGTGAAATACAGCCACTCCTGCCCTCTTCTTTAAACTCACACATGCATGCGCACGGAGCCACCGGAGCGGCTTCTGCTGGCAGGCGGCCCAGTGTGGCTGGGGATTAAGAGCTTGCGGCACAGACGCATTCCTGGGATGATCCATGCTCCCTGGGGCAGAGTGGTGGGGGAGACGGAGAAAAGACAGCGAATGCCCCCCTGCACTACAGGGCACCCCCTCGCCTCCCTCTTCCAGGGAACGGCCTCCGCTCAGCTCCGCGTGACTCATGTGCTTCTCCTCCCCTTCCCTCGCAGACCTGACTCAACGCTGCCTCTGCTCACAGCTGGGGGTGGGTGGGACACGGCCAGCCTCCTTCCCTCTGCTGCTGGCAGCCAATCAACTGGGAGGTGAAGTGAGGAGACACACAGGAACACCCCCACACAGACACACACACACACACAGGACTCCGGGCGCGAGGCCAAGCCTCGGCCAGGATCCCATTGTGGAGGGAATGGGGGGGGGGAAGAGGACACAAATATGCCACTCCCAGCACGCACTGCACTGCACTACGCCAAGGGCATGTGTGTATTTGGGGGGGGGGGATCGGACAACAACTGCACACGAAAGTGCTGCCCACACGGCCCCGCAAGCGTACATCCACTCGCGGGCGGGCTCTTATGCGCCTACTTCTCTCCACGCACGGATGCAGAAGCCCACAACAGGTGATTTAACCCGCGAACGGCCACGCGTGCCATATGCACATTCGGGACCCGCCACTTGTCCGGCCTGGCTTGCTGCAAACACACGTCTACCCGTCTACGGTGGAGTAAAATAGAGTGTGGGGGAGAAACCCAACAACACTCAGCCATGCCCCTTCCCTTTCAAAAAGCAGGACGTTCACGGGAACAATGACGTGGCACCCGCCCTGTGCGTCACGTTCAAGCTCAGAGAACCGACCGTGATAACAAATTTTATTGTAATGTCTGCGCTCCACCAGGGGCGTTAAGGAAGCGTCGCTCAAACTGGCTTTGGTAGCCAGCGCTGGAAAAGACAATAACACTAGGAAAAGTTGAAGGCGGGGGGAAAAGAGGAAGACCCGACATGGGATGGATGGAGGCTCTCGGTTCCCAAGACCTGAGCCAAGACTGTTAACAATAGCACGTTTTGGAGGTCATTAATTCATAAGGTCACCATAAGTCGTAGGCGATTTGATGGCACATCACACACATACATGGGAGTCATTTGCAGCCCGTAGCTAATACGGGGCCGGGCCCCCTAGCATTTTCTCCTGGGTTGGCCCCAAACTGAATGAATGCAATTAACTTTGGTTTCATTAGCTGCAGCCCCCCCCCGGCCCCCTCCCCAAAAAATCCCTAGCTACAGGCAATGCTCCCTCTAAGCTGTGGAATCTTGTGAGCAAAAATTCTACTTTGTGAGCTCCTGGCAATAAAGTTGTGAGCCAGCGATTAGGCTACTGCATAGATTAGTTTGCTCTGGAACCATCTTTCCTGAGCGAAGACAAATATGTGTGAGCTGGAGACTAAAATGTGAGCAAGCTCACATTAACTCAGCTTAGAGGGAACACTGGCCTACAGGGCTAGTCATTTTATATGACTCTGCCTGTCCGGATCTTCATTTTCTTTCCCCATGGAAGGCACCAGGTAGGGAATCCTGCTGGCTGCTTAGCCATTACAACCTTCTCCCTGAATGGATGCCCAAGAGCTGCGCTTGGTCTGGATAATGAAGTTGCTCGTCTGGATTTTTGTAAACTTGTGGCATTAGATAATTACAGGGCGTAGCAGATGAACGGCTAGGAACCACCCGTTCTAGCTGGCCCCGACAAGATGCCATGAGTGGATTCAGAAGTTGGAGTGGAAACACCTTGAGGGGCTCTGCCCCCCAACCGCCACAGGAGGTTGGCCAGGGGGAAATGTCCCTACTCATTTATTACTTCCACACGGAACTTACGTTCTGCCCTTCCACCAGGGACCGCCCACAGGACCCAGTTCTAGCGAGACT